ACTTGTTTGTATCCCAACACCATTTACAACCAAGATGTTTCTTCCCATCCGGTAGAGTTTCTAGAGACCATGTTCCATTGGCTTCTAGTGCATGAAGTTCTTGCTGTGTTGCAAGCCTCCATTTGGCATCTTGCACTGCATCAGCATAATGAGTGGGTTCTCAGGCTAGAGTAATAACAATAACATTATCCAAATCATTATCATCGTCATTATCCAATGCATCGTTCATTAATGATGTATCCACAGGCAAATCATATTTGACCCCAGCTGTATGTGTGAAAGGAAACTCTGTTTCAAAGAACTCAACATCACGATACACAAAATAGCATTGAGTATCTAAATTAAATAATTTTCAACCCTTCTTCCCATAAGGGTAACCCACAAAGATACACTTTCGACTTCGACTAGCAAACTCATCACCATGTCTATCCAAGTTGTGTGCATAGCATAAACAACCAAAAACTTTTAAATGATCATACATGGGGGCTTGACCATGCAACATCTCATATGGTGTTTTTCCAAACAACACTGGAGTGGGGGTACGATTAATCAAGTATCTAGCTGTTAAGACACACTCACCCCAAAAAGAAATAGGGAGATTACCTTGAAATTGTAGAGCACGAGCAACATTAAGAATGTGTCTATGTTTTCTTTCTACTCTTCCGTTTTGTTGTGGGGTTCCTAGACAAGATGTTTGAAATACTATCCCGTGTTCATAAAAGTAGTTTCTCAAACATGTAAATTCAGTACCATTATCGCTACGTAACACTTTAATATGTTTACCAAATTGTCTTTCTATCAATGCAAAGAAATTCAGCAATGTACGTGACACTTCCCTTTTATCAGAAATCAAATAAATCCAAATAGCAAGAGAAAAATCATTCATTATTGTCAAAAAATATGAAGCACCACAAGAAGAGGGAGTTCTATAGGCCCCACAAATCACAGTGTATTAATTCAAAACTACCACCAGCATCATTTGTACTTAATGGAAAGACATCTCTAGCTTGCTTAGCTCATAAACATACATCACATGGTTTGTTCTTCAAAATACTGCTATCATACCTCATGTTGGAAGCTAATTTAGTGACCTTGAAAGAAGGGTGCCCAATGCGTTGATGCCACATATTAAGTTCACAAGTTCCATTAGCTTTGTGTGCTTTATTCTCACTTGGGATTCGTTTAAAGAAGTAAAGCCCATCTGTAGCAACCTCGGTCGCCACGGGATGGCAAAATAAATTTTTTTTAGATATGGAGTCGCCACCAATGTTTATTTCTATGAAAAAACATTGAAAAAAAATATTAAAGAAAAATGGTCTACGAAATCAGATTTTGAGTTCGGGAGTCAATTACGTGTAAGGAAGGTATTAGCACCTTACAACGTCCATCATAAAGACGGTTACCTCTAATTAATCAAGCAAACTATTATAACTTTTAAAAATATTTATCTCACCCCAAATTAATAGAAATTAACGATAATAATCACATATATTTTATTCAACAAGTGCGTTGAAAGTTGTTTATTATCATTATTATTGAGATAATATTATTATTTTATTTTTGGGCTCGACAGGAATAATTTCCTAGTCCTACGTATCTTCATATGTAATGAAGAATCAGAGTTACGTAGTTCTTGAAAGAAATTGTTTTAATAGTTTTTATTTAAATTCACCATTTTAATTTAATATGAGGCTTTTCAGTTGTCTCAGCTCATACAACCTAAAATTGACAAAGGTGTACACCAAAGCCAATTTATTTAATTATTTAATTTTGATTAATCATGATTATTATAATTTTTGGCAAAAACCAAATTAATCGTTTTGTAAATAAATTTTGTTACAATGTTTTTAAAAGTTTAGCAAAAATTCTATAACGGTATTTTTAATGGTAAGAATTATACATTTGAATTAATTTGGAAAAGAGTTATAAGATAACAAGTTATCACAACTTGTATCCTTGCCTTCTAAGATTAAGAGAATGTCACATTCAAATAATCTTTTTGTCAAATATTACTTGAATTATTTTATTGATAAAATATAAAACTTGATTTTAAATTGAACTTATAATTTGTAATGTATTTCATTTTAAAAGATCTCGAGATTACAAATTATAACTATATGTTTTTAGGTAATTTAGGGATCAAAAAGACGTCACGTCTATTTGACCATTTTTCACTAGAAAATTCTTATTGTAGTATTGTTTAGATTTTAAAGCATAAATACTTAATTTTAATATTTGAAGTACTTTTTTCTAATTTTTAGAACAATCAAGTTGTCACAACTTGTGCTCTAAAGTTTTGAGCGGTAAAAAATGTTACATTTAACCAAATTGTTTCTCTTATTTTATTATTAAACGAGATCATTATTATTAATAATTATTTTAATTAAGACACAAAAGTTTAATCTCATTCTATTATTATTAGATGAGAACTTTGATTTCAAATGATTGCATTGATATATATATTTTATCCTTATTTCAATGCGGAATTACGTGGTTATTATTTGATTCCTATTCGGTAAGTCTACGATTCCTTCCTATACTAATCTAACTTTCATTAGTTTTGCACACAAAAATATAATAAAAAAGGGCATGAACATATTCTATCCAAGCTAAAAAAACAAAACTGCATGCACCAGGATTACGTGGCCTATGGAAGTGTGATATATCCAAGAAAGAAAGAAAAGGTCATGGTCTTGGTGACACGTGATACTGAGCTCGACTTTATGCATGGATGAGGCGAATAATATAACAACACATTAAGTGGAAATACTCACAGTACAAATGAAACGAAAGTGTGAGAAATAAAAGATAGAAGTTGCGGGGCTGAGGCAAAGATGGAAGAAATATGCCTTACCAACTCTTTTGCTTACGCAGCGGTTTCGTGTTTGTGGTGTTGATTAAAAGACAAAATCTGGTTCAGGTGATTTGGTGGCAGGCACAAGTACTACTAATGCTAGAATAAAGATACAATGCTAGGTATGAGTGGCTGCTAGCTCGAGCTCTGGGACTGCGTGAGCCATGATGGATTCAAGGAAGATTAAAGTTTAATGTATGTGATCTAGATCTTCCGGTGGGTATTCTTTACGTGTGAAAAGTGCCTAGTTTTCAAGCGTGAGGTGTGTGTGTTGTCTCTGTGAAAAAAGCCCCTTTCCCCTACAATGCGTTCAGCCTTATATACTGTGAGAGATGAGTTTTTCCCGCCCCTCCTCTGTAATGTGTAGAATGTTCTTTCATTTAATAATTTTTTATTTCTTCATTTTCCCTTTTTTTATTCGTAGGGGATATGATCGCTTCGACATAGGTCCGCTACGTAGACTGAGATTGGTGGCTGATTAGACAGAAATGGGTTGAGAAATATTTTTTTGAAGATTTTCTGTTTATTGCTTTTTCAATATTTATTGTTTTTTACGTTTTTATATATACTAAAACTCAGTATTTTTGAAACACCAAATTCATTCGTTATTTTTATATTTAACTTTATTCCTGAGAAAAGAAGAAATAGTATAACGTGAATAAAAATGAAAAATAATAAAAATGAAAAATAATAAAAGAAATGAAAAATAAATAAATAAAATAAATAAATAAAAGGGGGACAAAATTGAGTGTTTACACCATCTCATTGTTCACCCACTCTAATCAGCATCTTCGGAGTGCAATCCTACATAACACATAAGTTGTTGATGAAATAGAAAACACAATTTGTTTCATTTGTCAATTGAGAAATAGACAACAAGTTGCAACTCAATGTTGGCACATAAAGCATATTTTCCATTTTCAATCCTTCATCAAGTGTCATGTCCCTTCTTTATTTGCCATCAATTGTTTTTCATCTAGAAGTCTCACTGGACACCCAACCACGCCTCTCAACCCACATAATAAACTCAAGTTTCCTGTCATGTGACTAGAGGCACTTGTGTCTATAATCCAATCACTATGTTTACCTGTCACTTTGTCACTTGTGGTTCCTTTGTGATTGTTCAACAAATCCTTTAGAGTTTGTCATTGCTCAGAACTCAGTCCACTCAATGCATTTACATTAGTCCCATTGGTTTCTCCATTCACTTGCATTGCATTTGCTCGAAAACCTCCATTTTTTCTTCCAATCAAATTTCCTGGATTATCGTTTGCATGCAAGTCATATGGTGAAGGTATCTTTTTCACCAATTCGGTCTTCTTCTCGATCTGAGCTTTATCCATGAGGAGAGTTTTGTCACATGTTTTCACCGAGACTTTGTATGCTCTAATACCATAACAAATTTATGGAAAAAGAATCGTGTGTGTCATTCTATTGATCAATAGGTAATTATATATAAATATATGACAGTCACAGATCTTAAACTACAGGCTAAATTATCTCCCTCATATCCTTGATATGATTTAGCATTATTCTACAATAAAGGAGAATTAAAAAGGTCAATATACGACTGTGTGAACCTAAATCCTCTAAAAGATCCCAAATCAAGATACAATTCTATTTGAGAAATAGTTACGTATTATAATTTTTAAAGATGTATCATAATTATCTCTGCTTACAAAAGAGAATGTGGCTTTCCTAAGTTGTACGTAATATGAAAACTAAAAACATCCTCTGGTCTGGTCATTAATCGTAAAAATAAACGTGGTCAAATCCTTTTTTCCCTATTAGACCATATCTAATAAGAGTTATTAATAGTATTTTAAATATAAGAATCGATTCTTATAAATTTTATTATTTAAAGGCGCTGGTATGAATGATAAAATATAAAAACTGTTTTATATAAGAATTTTTAAGAACTTATTATCAATAAAAAAAAAGTATGTTTGATTAAATAAAAATAATAAAATACAAAATTTATAAAATAAATTAAGAATTTAAGTTAAATTCTTTGATTGAAATTATTATTAAAAAAAAACAATAAAAAAAAGTTTTTGTTACACAGAGAGACCCATAAAAATTAAATTGTTAAGTTAATATAAGATCGGAATGGTTTATAAATGATGAGGCTTCCCTTTGCCTAACATATATAGTTGTTTGAGTATTTTGTATTGTGTAGAATCCATCTCCATCAATAACTAATGGCAACAGAGAGAGTGCTTCGCATGAAGGGTGGTGTGGGAGAAACTAGCTATACAAAAAACTCCTTACTCCAGGTATATATATCATCTCGATCGATCTACTTTTTCCTACTTATTAAAAGAGATTTTTTTAGCCAACATGTTATAAGAAAAATGGAGTTTGCTGTGGCAAACTTGTGATGCTGTTGGAACTTGGAAAAGTCCTCTTAAGAGTTTCCTTCTGAAACACCATCATCTCTTTGATAGATTCAATATACTACATGAACTCAACGTGAATATTTTTATTCACACTCAGGCTTCCATACTAACCTAAGAGAAACATTTCCTCATAGTTTCTTACTAAATTAACCACCAAAATCCGCAGTTCCAGGATTTTTTACAAACCATTCCGATTTTTTTTTTAAATATTTGATTTTTATTTCAAAATTTATGTAATAAGGTTTTTTCTAATGAAATCCTTCCCAACCAGAGATTCTTAATGTAGTACAGTTCTGGTCTTCATCCATCAGGTGTACCACAGGGGATAAGATAATAAGATGAGCCATCTATATGACACCCTCATTTATATTTTTATTTTTAATTTATCTAACTTCAAGAAAATTGACTGCTAAATATAAATTATCATTAAAAATTAAAATTTATGAATAAAAAATTATTTTATATTTATCCACAAACAATTTATTCATACATTATGTAAGTTATATAATAACAATTTTGTAAATTTTGTTTTCAATAAACAGTCGGGAATATAAATATTTAAATTTTACTTTCACCGAATAATTATAAGTGAAAATAATTTTTAGTTTGCACATATTATATGTAACAACAAAATATTTGTAATTACACGTCACTTCTCTTATACCGAACAATATTTGTTTTAATAGTATAATAAATAAAGATTCATAAATTTTGAGTACGTAGTCATGTTTAATGTAATAAATATACTTCATATATATTAGAATTTTAATAACTTTTCTGGATTGGAGACCGAGAAATGATAAGATGAGTGTCTCTAAAAAATATTAATAAGATAAAATAGTATAAATAAATAAAAATGTTTAAAATACATTTTTATGTAGTATAAAAAAATATTATGCATGAAATAACTACAATTCCCTTGTTTAACTATGAGATCCAACCAATGATCTTTTGACTCATTTTTTTAACAACTTATAACGTGTTTTTATTTTAAAATTATAAGAAACTATTTAAAATTAAAACTTTGAGAATTTTGAAAATTCATATTTATTCGAAACACAATTAGTTTATTAGGAAATTATTTAACAATTTAACATAAAATAATTGTTAAAAAAATTATATAACTCCTACTCTTTGAATATTCTCTTCTAATGAAGGAGTGAATTTCACTCTCTTAACGTGCAACATTTTTATATTTTTATATCAAAGAAATGATTTATTATCTAGTAAATAATATCTAAATATCAAAATGAAAATATATTTTATCTTTAAAATTAAAATACTATTCCTTTGTATTATTTTATATTTATTTTAATATTTTTTAAAACTCGTTCTAAATTTAGTCATGTTTGGGGTATAGTTTAAACTGTTTTTTCTATGATGTGTGTTCTTACATTTACTATTGCAAAAACAAATTAGTCATGTTTGGGGTATAATTTAAACTAGGCCTGAGCACGGGTGGGTTCGGGTCAAAATATTTAGCCCAATCCAAACCGATCCAAAAAAAAATTAACCCATTTTTTATCGTAACAGTGTTTTAGGTTTATTGGGTTTGGGTTTGTCGGGTCTCAGATTAACTGGGTCGGTTTAGTCGGATTGGGCCATATTAGGCCCAATATTTTTATTTGTTATTTTTTTCAAAATCTAAACAACTATTTAATTAATTTGGGCTGGACCTACCTTTTTTTCTCTCTTTTATTCTCAACTATTTAAACCAGTGGAGTTGAGCCTTATTTTAGGGGATTATGAGACCTTTTTTTTTAAAGGAATTATAGGCATTTTCTATAGACTTTAATACTTAATAAATATATTACAAAAAAAGTAAATAAATAAATCACATTTAAATTTTTGTAAGTATAATTATATCAATTTTAAGCCATTTTTTTATAATAATTATTACTAAATTTAAATGCAAATCAATAAAAAAAGATAACAACAATGGAGGAGAGAGGGATGGCAAAGCCGCTGCGACAGAGGACAGCGTGGGATTCGTCGTAGTTGGAGACGACGATTTTGTCCCGCGTGGTGACAGCGATGACCGCGGTGGATCCGACAGTGTCGAAGTGAGGAGTACGAAGCTCGCAGCGGCAAGTGTAGGTGTGCTCGTTCTGGCTGCGGCGATGAACCTCGTTGTCCATGCGAGCAAAACCGTTCCCCCTATGCTAGGGTTCATTTGAGCGACGTCATTCGCCGGAGTCTCGCGGTCCAACGCGCGAAGGCTTCACTTGGCGTGGGCGAGGAGGACGTGGAAGTCGAGTGCTGCAGGGGGATGATCCTGACGGGACGGGCAGCGGTAGGGTTTCTAGTTTCTACTGCTGTGAGCACAAGGTTTCACGGTGCTTAGGGTTTCTACTTTCTAGTTTCTACTCTCGCGGTGCTAGCTAATAATATACCTTTTAATTGTTAAGTGTCGATCGGGTATGGATACTGACGGGGTCAAATATTTTAACCCAAACCCGACCAACAAAACCCATATCAAACCGAGTCAAACAACCCGCAAAATTGAAAAATCCCAAAATAACTGACTGAACTAAAAAATTGACCACGGAAAGTTTCAGTTTCGGTCGGTTCGAAACTTTCTGCTCACGCCTAATTTAAACTGTTTTTCTATGATGTATGTTCTTATGTTTACTATTGCAAAACAATGATGTGATATGAGATTGTTTACTTTTTCACTTACAAATTATTGTTATTATAAGGTAAGTGTACTAATTCGTATAAGTAATTTAATGATGAGTATGAGTGTTATCTCTTAAATGATTTATACAATATTTGATATACAAATCACTAATGATACTAAACAAAATCATCAAAAAAAATTTGATTGATTATGGAAATAAAGAAAGTAGTTAAACAAAAATAAATATTATAAGAAATTACTTTTGATATTTTTACAAACACTTGAAATGCAAAATCTAATTTTAACACAGTATTGAAATATGTTAGAGTTTAACTTCACTAAATCATATTCTCATGTTTACAAACAAACTCTAATCCAATTATAAATTTATAAATTATCATTCAACTCACAAATATACTCAAACTTTAATTTATTATGAGTCAGAAATTAAGTTTTTTTACTAAGTTATCAATTTCTTGTATAACTCAAAAACCTAATTTAAGAATAAGAGTTTATGAATGACTAATAGTATTTACTTTATTCCTAGAGGTAAACATCATTATCTCCTCTACTTCAATTCAAAGATTAACATGTATTTTTCAATCATTTTACACCCACAAAATTAAGTTAAAGGATCAAAGGTTCGCATCTGAGGTATATATTGTCCATTTTAATACTCGTTGGGCCGTCATGATTTTGTCCTTGAAAATGTGCTTTAAGTTAAAGAGAAAGAACGTTGATAAACTACCATTATCCTCGACTTCTAAGCGACATAAGACTTTTTTAGACATATTAGAACACTTTTTATTATTGTTGTACCTATATTTAAAATGATACTGACTTAAATTAAATTTGGTGCAGAGAAAAGTGATGATGAAATTGAAAACCATATTTGAAGAAAATGTAAAACAGATGATGTCCAACATAACTTCTGAAAGCTGCTGGAGAGTAGCAGATTTAGGTTGCTCTTCGGGACCAAATGCATTTATGTTTGTGTCAAATATCTTAAACATCATGGATAATGCTAGCTTGAGCTTAAACCGTGTGCCACTCCAAATCTACCTCAATGACCTATTTGGAAATGATTTCAATACCATCTTCAAGTTAATTCCTGAATTCTACCAAAGTATACATCAAGAGAAAGGAGACAACTTTGGATCATGCTTTATTCATGCAACACCAGGAAACTTTTATGGGAGGCTCTTTCCTGATAATTACATCCACTTCTTTCATTCCTCCTACAGTCTCCATTGGCTATCTCAGGTCAACACATTGCTATATATTCTTTCAGTATTGAATGATTAAAGATAGAATAAATTATTACACTAAAATCCTTTGAGGTTTCCTGAAATTACATTAACGCTACTTATATTTTAACATATGCAATAATATCTTTTATAGAGTTCACAATGTAATATTTTGTAAATAATTAAAGAAGTCAATATAATATGTAAGGAGTGTTAGTATATTATTTATCAAATAAATAAAATAATTAAGAGAGATTGTTGTAGAGGTGAAAAAGTAAAATCTCATGAAATTAACTTCAAAGGTATTTATGTAATTTACTCTTAATGATTTATTTTGAAATTAACAGTTATTTTATTTAGAATTTTAACTTCACATGCTAGCTCAAGCATTTAAATACATGATTGTTTGCTAGCATTCCATATTCTATGTCTTTACAAACACCAAGCTAATATTTTTTTTAGAAGGCAAAGATGTAATTTCATTAATTCATGCATCAACAAAGTTTACAAATCATTAGAAGTGATTACAAAAATAAAAAATGAAACAAAAATCCTGAATAATAGTAGCAACATGGTCCAACAAATTTTTTTTTTGCAAAATACAACTAAGCTGATAAACCATCATATTACAAAAACCATATATCAGAATATGTCTCTTAAACAAAGGATTGGTTGGGCCTGCCATTGGTAAAAGAAGAATAGTGCATCCTTATAGTTTGTTTTAACCTAACTCAATGTCCTGAGTTTGATCAGCTCAAACACTTCATCTACAGATGGATTAATCTCTTTGAAAATCTTCTCATTAATTTCAACACAATCATAATGACCAAAGAGTTGCAATCCAGATTATCATACCTGCATTACCTACTTTAAAACTTTTAGCAATTTCCAAATGATTCAAAACATGTACATGGTTCACAATGAGAGGGTAAAGATTGATGACAACCCCACCAATTATAGCAGTTTTGCCAAACTAGGTAAGACAAAAGACACCAAAATAATAGATGATCAACATTTTTAACCTCCAGGTTACAAAAAGGACAGGAAATGTCCTCATCATCATTTATAATTCCTCCTTTTATTGGCTGGTCCTTTGTTTGGACTCTTTCGTGAGCAACTCTCCAAGTAAACAATACTGCCTTAGATGGGACTTTTAATTTCCGTAACAATATGAACAAACCATTTGTATTGTTACTTGCACCTTCCAACAGATGATAGACACTAACAGATTATGATAATACTATTAATTGCTTTGAACATTCAAACCTTCTTGTATATGGTATCTATCAGGCACCAAAAACTTGGAGCAACATAGCCGAACCACTCAACAAGGGAAATGTTTATATAACAAGTACAAGCCCTCCTTCAGTCTATGAAGCGTACTTGAAGCAATTCAATAAAGATTTCAATCTTTTTCTAACATCACGCTCGGAGGAACTAATATCTGGTGGTATTATGGTACTTACTTTCATTGGCAGAGAAAAAACTAAAAAATTTAATAATCCTGCAGAGGTAATTGGTATGGTACTCAACGACATGGTCCAAGAGGTAAGCGATCGATGGGGTTTGATTATTATCCAAGAATGCACTAACTTCAAATTAAAATAGTATAGTTGTATATGTTTGTCGAACACATCCAACCCAAAATTTTACAAAACCCTAACTGCACTTTATAATTATTTTCCTTTTATTTTTATATCCATACACATATTATATACCTTAATAATTAGATAAAATATACCATCTTATCATATTTAAAATGATTTGCACGTGTTCAGTTTTAAAATTTTGATTCTTCAATTTGATTTAAGGATGGAATTTTATAATAATTTATACGTTGCATTATAACTATGTAGTATTTTATATTTTTTAAATTTATCATATTTACTTATATATTGTGTTGTCTTGGAATATTGAATACTGCCCATGTGTTATATATCTACTTTCTAATAGTGGAGTTGTCAAGAGTATTAGCCTGAATCAGCCACCAAGCCAAGTGTGAAAAATGGGCTAGGTAGTTAACTGAAGTTGACTTTGTATACAAGTAATTATTTTTTTAGTTTGACTTAGTTTATTAATTCGTTGGATCAAACTCAATTGGATAACTATATTTATTTATAATAACTTGCAGACTTTTGAATTTGGATTCAAATATTGTCATTGTAATTCTTACGCATCAAAGAAAAGGAAAAAATAATATCGAATAATTTTTTTTTTGCCTAATTAACCAATCTTATTTAATTGGATCAAATTGATTCAATTTTTTTCAAACTTAAAAATAAAGTACACAACTTGGCCTGGACAATTTTGATAGCTCTAATAATTAGCAATATAATATAAGACACTCAAATTAGCATTGGAAAAATACAGTTGTTTTTTGTTTGACTTCCAAAGTTTTTTTTATGATTTGTAGGGTCTGGTTGAAGAAGAAAAATTGGATTTCTTTGATCTACCTTTATATGGTCCAACTGCAGAAGAAGTTAGACAAGTGATTGAAGCAGAAGGATCATTTACCATTGGAACATTGAAGACTATGAAAATAGGTTGGGATGCAAACCTTGAAGAGGATGTTGATGATTCTATACTTGATAGCAAAATGAGAGGAGAGTTCACTGCTAAGTCCATGAGAGCTGTTCTTGAACCTATCTTGTCAGTTGAGTTTGGTAAAGATATCATGGATGAATTGTTCTTGAGATTTGCAAAGCTGGTTGCCCAACTCATTGATGAGTTGGAGACATTGGAGTATACTAATGTCGTAGTGTCCGTGACCAAAGATCCTTGAACATGTTTGGGTCCGGTTATTTATGATTTGCCTATTTTGGGGTCTTCCATGATCATATTTTGGTTCATTATTTATAATTTAATTCTCTTTAATTAAGAAATATTGGTCCTACTTGTCATATTTTTTGACACACTCATGACAAGCATGGTCTACTTAGATCTTGCATAGTTATAATAATATTATGTTTTAGAGTTGTTCTTACCGGAGATCGGTCGTAAGACGATCTTCTGGGCAAGATCGGTGAGCCTCCTTCGCCGGGTACGCTTACTGCTCCAAAGTGGGGGTGGTACCTACAAAAGAGACTCCGATGCTAAAGTTAGTGTTTGTGAGTGTATGAGTTTCGTATAAGTAATGCACGTACCTTTGTATAAATTAGGGTTTTACTAGGCCTTGGGCCTGAGATTGGTTACAATATGTTTAGATAGTGGGTCTTGTCCTGGCCGATGTCGCGCAGCACGTGTCCGATGTCAATCCGCACTGTGATGCCGAGCTTGAGCTCGGCTTAGCGGTACGGATGGTACACTAGCCCCCCGAGCTCCGAAGACCGTGGGTCGAGGAGTTAATGCCGAGCTCACCAAGGGGTCATGACTCTTCGCGTACGCCTCTCTGTCGTGATGCCATGTGTCATAACCGTCACTTCGTTCTTCGAGACGCGTGGGCAGCATGTTAATGGGAGGTGACGGTTATGTAATGATGGGCACATTTCGTCATAATGGGGCCCCATTAATGTGTCATCAGTTTTGTCCCCTATCTCTCCACGTGTCACGTCCGTTTCAAATTTTAAGACTTCTTTTCTCTCTCTCTCACGCCTTCTCCCCTTCACTTTAACACTTTCGTTCCTTTCCTTCCTTGGCTTCTTGTGCATGCTGAACTTCGCATTCTTCCTTTCATCGTCTCCATTCGCCTCTGTCGTCGCCGATTCCGGCAACCCAGCCGTTGTTAAGGTCATTTTCTGAGGAGGAGTACCAGGTACTTCCTTTATGTTGTCTTCTTTCTCGTTCTTCCTCTCTGTCGGTCTTCCTCCCCTTCTTCGTCTTTTCCGTTCTTCGAATCTTTCTATTTTCGATGGCTGGTAGTGGTGCTGCACCTTCTGCGCTGGCCAAGGGCAAGGGCAAGGGAAAGGCGCGCGGCAAAGCGGTGGCCGACGAGACGGCCGCTGCTGAGAAGAGGAAGGGTGGTAATAACCCTAGGGACGCCTTCCCCATCATCACTGGCTACGGATGGGTCAGGGGTGACGTCGAAGAATTCCAGAGCGTCTTCAAAACATTCCTTGAGATTAATGCGATGTGGAGATCGCTCAAGATCTGCCAAAGATCCATTTCTAAGCTCATCCGGCTCGAACCGTGTCAGCCTGGCGAGCGTGTATATATGGGGGGTACCTCTAATCCCCCCTTTTTCTATATGTACTAGTGTTTCTTTAGGGATTTAGGTGTATGCCTTCCCTTTACCCAATTTGAATGCAATTTTTTTAATTTTGTCAACTCGGCTCCTTGCCAGCTGCACCCCAATAATTGGGGGTTTTTTGAGGGCTTTTCAAGTCCTGTACTCGACCCTAGGGATAGGGTTGTCTCTGCCTATTTTCCTTCATTTTTATCAAACTTAAATTGGGTGAGCCTCCCTTGGGTTGGGTATCCTTGAACGGGAGTAAGGCTGGGGGTTGTTGTCTCTTTACTCCCAGTCATACAAGAGCTTCAAGAGTGAGTTCTTCCAGGTTCTACCCAAAGAGGTTGACCCGCTGAAGGATGAAGTGTTCCACTTCGGCGGGTTGCCGAGGTTCCCCTTTTACTAGCAGCAGAATCCGGTCAAGTTCAACGGGTCAAGCAATCTTCAACTGACGGCCTCGGATACTACTGCCATTAACAACCTAGTCGCGCTCCCGCGTCCCCTGGATTGCAAGCTCATCCTGTCGCTTGCCAATTCTGCGTACAAAGAGAGGGGTTTAGAGAGTGAGTATCTCAGCACCCTTAGTTGTTGGGCTTTCTGATTTTTTGTTCTTTTTCTTTTGTGTTGGATTTTTGTGTTTGTAGGTATCATGGGGAAAAGCAAGTGGGGCGAGCTGAAATCCCGCTACAATGTGGCTGAGATTGAGGTCCTCGAGCCTCTCGAGGAGGAGGTCGCCCCCCTGGAAACTCGCAGGAAAAGAAAGAGGGGGGAGAAGGAGGTCGGGGGGACCTCTGCCCCTCAAGATGTTGAAGAGGTGACCTCCAAGGCCGCCGATGCCGACCCCGTCGATCTAACAGGGAGCTCTCCGCCTGAGGGATCGTCCAGAGCCGCCGTGGAGGAGGTTGCTCGTGAGGCGCAGGTTGGCATTTTGCTTCTGGCTTATTGTCTTTTTTTTTTTTGTGGTACCTACAAAAGAGACTCCGATGCTAAAGTTAGTATTTGTGAGTGTATGAGTCTCGTATAAGTAATACACGTACCTTTGTGTAAATTAGGGTTTTACTGGGTCTTGAGCTTGAGATCGGTTACAATCTGTTTAGATAGTGGACCTTGTCCTGGCCGATGTCGCGCAGCATGTGACACCCTCTACCCCGCATATCATAAATCAATAAATTTAAATAATATAACTTTAATAATCAAACATGTTTAAAGAGTATCACATTTTTAACAAACATAATCAGCGGAAATTACAAAGAAATAAATCTCAAAGTTTTCAAAGTAATTTAAAATAACATTAACAACCTAATCTAATCTTATCTATACCCCGATGTCACATGTCCTATCAGAGCATAGCCCATAAAGAAGCCTAAGCTTCACCACCAACATCCTCAGCCTCATGCTGATAATCACCTGTATAACGGTTAAAGAAAAACAACACAAAGAAAAAGGGAGTGAGAAAACATCTCACTCGGCTCACAGTGTAGGAATATATATACTAGATAGCCAAACACAAACAAAACATATATAACATAGATTAACAATATCACATCTTACTCATTCAAGGCATATCCATTTGTCATATAATATCAAAAGACACATGTATGGACACGGACTACATTTTATCATGCATGTGGCGCCAGTCACTTATCACGTAGTATATTGCCGCTAGCAATACACAAAGAGTAGTCTAGGAGTACATGCCGGGACACAACCTCTGCGCACTCTCACTAGAAGGACATACTACCAGAGTCTCGTCGGGATAGCTAAGCCGCGCAAGATACATCCCATGCACACAATGGGCGAGACTGGGACTTCCAAACCGAGCCATCCCCAAGGACTGATCCCCACAGCTTTTACACTAGGGGGCCTTCTCTGGCGGCGTATTCCATATCGTACCCTTATCACTTTATGCAAATGATGCATGTCAAACAAGACTCTATGCATTCTCATATCACTTTATCACTTTCCATGGTCATTTCTCTTTATCACATTTCATATCTCATTGTCACATTATCACATTATCTATCTCATGGTCAATCATATCTCATGGTCATTTCACATCATATTTCATCATCACATCATATCATTAGAAACATCACATTCACATTATCATATCATATTCATAACTTTCACAATCATAATCTCAACAGAATTTCTATTCATACACACATATTAACCAAGCAATTAGAACATACAAACAAT